AACATCTTTGTTGGTATGTGGTGCTGAGGATCGAACCCGGGCCGCACGCATGCCAGGCGAGCGCGCTACGGCTTGAGCCACATCCCCAGCCCAAGACAATTTTCTTGAATGCTGTTTTATGTGATAATATTTATAGAACTAAAACATTATAATTATCATTATCATTATTATTATTATAATAGGGGTTGAACCCAACGGTGCTTAACCACTGAACCACATCCCCAGACCTTTTTATTTTTTATTTTGAGACCGGTCTCACTAAGTTGCTTAGAACCTCACTAAGTTGCCAAGGCTACCTACATACTTGACTTTATATCCTCTTGTCTCAACCCCCCGAGTTGTTGGGATACAGGCTTGCACCACCACACCCAGAGTGATTGATTGATTGATTGATTGATTGATTTTTGAGGCACTAGTGATTGAACCCAGTGATGTTCTATCTCTGAACTACATATCTAGTCCTTTTTATTTTTTATTTTGAGACAGGGTCTCACTAAGTTGCCAAGGTTGGCCCCGAACTTGGGGATCTTCCTGACTCAGCCTTCCTAGTCTCTGGAGTTATAGGCATACACCACTGAGCCTGGCAGGATGTGAGCTTTTTTCAATATGCTGTAGTAGGAGTTTGATTTAGCCTTCCTTGGGTTGAAAAATCTAGATAGTTTCATATTGCTCCAAAAAAATGCTTTGCCTGACCAATTCACCATGACAACCAGGGAATGCAGATATCAAGATTCGTGTTTCAGCTGTGTTTATTGAGATGTTTAAAGGCCTCTGGGTACATGTATGCTGATATATAAATCTTTCAAATAATAGCATAATTCTAGATTTTCAGTATGATGCCCAAACACTCTAGTTTAGAAAGGGAAAGTGGGGGCGGGGTGGGTATTAACAACACTTGCCTTTCACATGTGAGGCCCTGGGTTTGATTCTGCAACAGTACAAAATAAATAAAAAAGTTTAAAACATAAAATAAAAAGTCAGAAGTATCTTTGAGAATGTTTCCCCCATTTTTCTTACTTGGGCTTGCTTACTTTTAGAATTGGCTGTTGAAAATCATAAAATGCTATTTGTCCATTTTTCTAAACTAATAAAGATTAGGATAACAAAAATAAACAGTGTGGGCTGGGGTTGTGGCTCAGTGGTAGAGCATTTGCCTAATATGTGTGAGGCACTGGGTTCTATTCTCAGCATCGCATATAAATAAATTAAATAATAAAATAAAGGTCCATCAACAACTAAAAAAAAATTTGTTTTAAATAAATTGTGCAAGGATGGTCTTAAGAGCTAGCATTGGCCAGCTGTGGTGGCACATACCTGTAATCCCAGCAACTTAGGAGGCTGAGGAAGAAAGATTGCAAGTTCAAAGCCAGCCTCAGCAATTTAGCAAGACCCTGTATCAAAATAAAATAGAAAAAGGACTGACGATGAGGTTCAAATGTAGATCCCCAGTACTGAAAAAAAAAAAAAGGCCAATATTTACATTTTTAATATGTAGATTACCAGTTACCAGACACCAAACCTTCCAGCAATGTCAAGGCCGGCCTTCAGGATATCTCTGGGAATTTGATTCCTCTTGAGGATGTTCACATCAAAGGGAGAATAATGGACTTTGTAGCCCAGGTATGTTATCTGTGGTTTTGTGATAGCTAAATGGATACAAATCATAAATGAGTATTTGACTGCAATTGTATGAACTAAACAAAATATGCCTGTTATATTGCTTGTTTAGGGAATAATGACAGGGAAAAAATAGTCCATAAGTGTATAGATAATTTTTTTCCAAATATTTTTGATCCACATTTGGTTAAATCATGGATATAGAAACCATGATACAGAGGGCCAATTACATATCATTTCTAACACTGAATATATTTTCAATTTAAGATATTTTCAGGGGCTGGGGTTATGGATCAGTGGTAGAGTGCTTGCCTGGCATGTTTGAGGTTTGATCCTCAGCACCACATATAAATAAAAGTATTGTCACCATCTAAAAAATTTTTTTAAAAAGATATTTTTAGGGCTGAGGTTGTAGCTCAGTGGTAGAGCGCTTGCCTTGCACACTTGAGGCCCTGGATTCAATCTTCAGCACCACATTAAAAAATAAATAAATAAAAATAAAGATATTGTGTTCATCTACAACTAATATATATATATATTAAAAAAAGATATTTTCAGTTTACCTTGGGTCTTTTGGTCCCATTTTTTTAAATATTTTTTTTTAGTTATAAATGGACACAATATATTTGTTTATTTTTATGTGATGCAGAGGATCAAATCCAGTGCCTCACAAGTATGAGGCAAGTGCCCTGCCACTGAGCCACAACCCTAGCCCTCATGGTCCCATCTTAAGATCAGGAACATGTATATTCTATAAGTTTCTAGCCCATGTGACACTTAGAAGGCATCATAATCTACAACATGAAAGGGACTTTTTCCCCAGCCATCTTAATAAGAAATATATTGCCTCTGCTAAGTCAGTATTTCTATGACTTCAGATGATTTCTACTCCAGTCAGGTATATAAGAACTAATTAAATATGTGCATTTTTATCATGAGGCATGGTAATGGTAGAACTCACTAACTCTGGAAACCAGGGTTGTGATTTGAAGGACAAGATCAAAATTCAAAAAATCTAAAATGAATATGCATAATTATTTTCATTATTTGTTGTTCCTGCAAATATTGTTCCATGTAGTTTAATCAAATATACTGATTTTTCTTTTTCTTCAGGTCATTGTTTTTCAGACATACACAAATCAAAGTCATGTGCCCATTGAAGCAAAATATGTCTTTCCTCTGGATGATAAGGCAGCTGTATGTGGCTTTGAGGCATTTATCAATGGGAAGCACATAGTGGGTGAGGTAAGAGAAGAAAATGCATTGGGACTACTCTTTGATTTCAAAGTCAGTTACCCAGATCTGCACTGGATCCCTGTGGCTGTAAGGTTGAGCCTTTTCAAAAACCAGAAATATTCTTTGAAAAATGAACTCACTCATACGATTAGCCTCCATTTGAATATCCCTCCCTGATGAACTGACTTCTACCTGTCCAGACTTAATAACCATAGTCTTGCAAATTCTTTGCTCTTGCAATTTTTCAAGTCATATCTGAAAATGACAAAGCCCTCATATGTTTTCACAAAAACTAGTCCTCTGTGCCCTGCTAGGAAAGTCAAGCTAAAGTGAAGGCTATTGTAACTTTCAAGAAAAATTATACTCACAGAAACAGTTGGGGTTGTAGCCAGGTGTGGTAGCATATGCATGTAATCCCAGTAACTTTAGAAACTAAGGAAGGAGGATTCCAAGTTTGAGGCCAACCTTGTCAACTTAGTGCAAACCTGTCTCAAAATAAAAAATATAAAAGACAGAGGATGTGACTCAGTGTTACAGATTGTTTTGGTTCAGTCCCTAGGACCAAAAAAGAATGAAAAGAAATTATAGTTAATAGTTGCTGGAGATGTAGTTCAGTGGAAGAGTGCTCACCTATCATATGTGAAGCCCTGGATTCAATCCCTAGCACTTAAAAAAAAATTAAAAAGAGGGGGAAATAAGAGCTGATTCATTCTATGTCTATTCTAAGGATAAGCCCAAAATTGTAATTATAATCCACAATTGTTAAGTTTAATGTAAACTTCCCCAGGCACAGTGGCACATACCACATTGAAAGTTCAAAGCTAGCCTCAGAAACTTAGCCAGGCCCTATGTAACTTAGTGAGACCATGTCTCAAAAAAAAAAAAAAAAAAAGTGTTATATTTTGTCACATGCTTTTTCTGCATTAATTGAGAAGATCATGTGAGGTTTTCTTCATTTTCTTCATTCTATTAACATGGAATACTGCATTGATTTTGAGTTTTCATATGTTGAACCATTCTTATATTCCAGGAACCAATCCTTTTTTTAATATTTATTTTTCAGTTATAGGTAGACACATATCTTTATTTTATTTTTATGTGGTGCTGAGGATCAAACCCAGTGCCTCATGTGTGCTCTACCAGGCGAGTGCTCTACCTCTGAGCCACAATCCCAACCCCTCTGTCTTAAACTTTTTTTTAAATATTTATTTTTTAGTTGTAGTTGGACACAATACCTTTATTTTATTTATTTATTTTTATGTGGTGCTGAGGATCAAACCCAGGGCCTCGCATGTAGTAGGCGAGCACTCTACCACTGAGCCACAACCATAGCCCTCTGTCTCAAAATTTAAAAAAATTAATAAAAAGGGTTGGAGATGTGGCTCAGAGGTTAAGCACCCACTGGTTAAGCACTGGATTCAGTCTCTGATACTAGAAACAATAAACAAACTTTTTCTTTTGTTCAGTATAAAGTTCTAAACAAACTTTTATTTTCAACCATTGACTCTGAAACATTTTGGTCCCAACTTAAAAAGAATTCTCTTTGGTGGCCTTTTCCAGTTTAAATTTTTATCTGACAAGTACATTTTAATGATCGCTTTATGTAAGTTTTCATTCATCTTAGACTCTTATTTTTTGTCTTTGTTCAGATTTTAATACATTAACAATAATTTTCCTTATTAAAGTCTAAAGTCACTCTTCCTATAATGGGTGATTTAAAAATTATCTTTTCCAGATTAAAGAGAAGGAAGAAGCCCAGCGAGAATACCGGGAAGCTGTCAGCCAAGGCCATGGTGCTTACCTGATGGATCAGGATGCTCCGGTATGGCTTGATAGTCAGCATTTTTATGGGAAAGGATTTGAAATATGAAATTCATAGTAGAAGCCAAGACAATTGTTGGGAGTAGTGATGTATGCCTGTAATCCCAGCTACTCTGGAGGCTGAGGCAGGAGGGTCACAGGTTGAAGGACGGGCCTAGGAAATTTAGTGAGACCCTGACTCAAAATAAAATTTTAAAAAGATCTGGAAGGTGTAGCTCAGTAGTAGAGTACTTGCATAACATGTCCAGGGCCTTGGGTGGAATCCCCAGTACCACATGCGCGCGTACACACACACACACACACACACACACACACACACACACACACAGATAATTTGCATTATTCTAGGTTTGTAAGATCCTTTTGTAAGGAAAAGTGGCCAAGTCTGTCAGACCCATTTGACTTATTTAAATAAAGAAGGAAATGATGATATTATTCGACAAACAAGAAAAGGTATTGGGAACTGAGTTTCCCAGAATCCATAGCAAAAAGAAAACATTTGGGTTACTTCATATTCACCTTCTGATATAGGAGTGTAATATATTTTCCCTAGAACTAAGTTCACCTCATAATTTGTCCAGTTTTCACCAAATCATAACCCAGGGAGGCATTTCTGCCTGAGAAGGTCCTGAGAAGGTTCAGCTTCTTTCTTTCTGATCATTAGCTTTAAACAGGTATATAATGTGGAAAGTCTGGAAGAAGGAACAACTATTATACCTTAAATATAAGATGTTTTAAATGTGCCTTTAGCAGGTGCTAGATGCCGGTAGTCAATGTCCAACCTGCATCTTCACGGTTCGTGTTTTAGCAATTTGTGCAGATAAGGCCATAAGCTTCAGATACCACTGCTGAGCATGATATGTTGCCTTAAGATTGTAAAAATTTTCGGCTGGGTCTTTAGCTCAGTAGTAAAGCACGTATGTGAGGCACATGTGTGAGGCTCTGCGTTTGATCCTCAGCACCAGATAAAAATAGATACTGTGTGTTCATCTACAACTAATATATATATTTTAATTATAAAACTTCAATGTTTGGTAAGGGGAATGGCATATTAAAGATTCATATGGGTTTTAAGAGTAAATTACTTTTGATATGTAAGATATCCATTTGCAGGACATGAATAAGCAATAAAGAAATAATTATTAAACAACTAATAATGCTGGCCTATAATTTAAGAGACTCCCAGTAATAGTGTAGGTTCTCAATCATAAATGTATGGTCAACATATTTCCTCCTTGATGCTAAGAAATTTGCTGGGGAATGTGAGGTTCAATCCTCAGCACCACATAAAAATAAATAAATAAAATAAAGATAAAAATATATTTAAAACAAAGAAAGAAGAAGACAAAACATAATACCTATAGGTAGAGTTTGGTCAGAAATGTTGTTAACCTGAGCCTTTTGGATTTCATCCTTCTGATCTTCCAAATTGTATTTTGATATCTATAATGATCTCGTACTATATGATATTAATAATAAAGTTTATTTATTTAAGTATTATATATTTATTATATATTAATAATGTTTATATTATATAAATTCATTTTGTATATGTTAATCTGATAGTTGAGAATTTATATATAAAACATATAGCATATATGCACATGCACATTATATATGTTTAATATAGTAATATGTATTATAGTTATATATAATTACTATATTATGTATTACTATATAATGGTCCCATAGATTTTACACACACACACACACACACACACACACACACACACACAAATACACACAATGGTGCAAAAGAAATGTGTATTCAGTTGAAACTGTACTTTGGAACTTGAATTTTGTTCTTTCCCAGGTTAGTGCTATGCAGTGCCATACTATGCCCATTCTTCCACCTTGGAAGCCACAAATTCTGCTTTGTGTCTATTGAGAGCTGTTTGAGGAATAGTTTCCTGCCTTTCCTCTAGTTGTAGCAAACCCCTGCTTTGTTTTGGTGTGGGGTCCTGGGCCTAGGAAGGTTTCATCCCCTCCTCCATGGGAGATAGCTTTTGCTTCTGTTTCTTTAAAGCAACAGAGATTCACCTGGTTGCTGGGAGTAAAAAGGAAGGTTTCTTATTCTTATATTGCTTCTGCTCCTTCCCCAGCAGCTTCAGGCTTTTGTTTCAAACAGGGGAAGGATCTAGGGAAGTAGACAGTGTTTCATGCCTGTCCCCAGCAGCAACCAGTCCCTTCTCATACTTGTTTTGCTAAGAGGGTCTTTCCTTGGTCTCTTGGTCTGTCCCAGTCTTTTTAGTGGACCCAGTAGAAGACTGTGGAGAAAAGCTTGTGAAAAAAATACAAGCTCCCCTTGGGGTAGGGGGTCTCAGTCATTCTAAACCCACAAGTAAACTAACCCCCTTTCAGCCTGTAAGAATTCAAATAGTGGGGCTGGGGTTGTGGCTCAGAGGTAGAGCGCTCACCTTGCATATGCAGGACCCTGGGTTTGATCCTCAGCACCGCATAAAAATAAATAAATAAAAATAAAGGTATTGTATCCAACTACAACTAAAAAATAAATATTAAAAAAAAGGAATTCAAATAGTGCCCATGGCCCCTCCATTCTTAGTGGGGCTTTTCACTCTTCAGAATTCAGTTTACTCAGTTGATGGTGGGTTCAAGACAGTTTATAATTTTGCAGATTATCCAGTGTGTTATAACAGAAATTAGGTCATCTTTTATCTACCTTTTATCCTACCTGGAAATGGAACTGCAATTTCACACTATTAAGTGAAAGTCTCTCAAATGAACCCTAGGTGCATGTGGAAGCATACATGTGCATAAACACTTACACATGCGTGCATGCGCACGCACACATGCACACACACGCACACACACACTTCTGTTAAAGAATGGCAATATTTACACTTTAATAATTGTCCTTCATTGTTAATTTCCATTCTACAAATGGATATCCTTGATGCATCCTTGATATCATAATTTAACTTTTAAGGCTATGTTAATCATTAATACTCTATTTCCTAAATATACTAAATTTTCATACTAGTATAATAGCCTGGTTGATCGGAATGGCAATTGGAGATGTTGAGATGATCTCTGTGTAGGTGTCAGAAAAAAATATATCTAACCCCTCTTTTCTGCCGAACATAGTCATGAGGTTATAGTCTTCTACTGCAATGATCATATCCCATTCAAAGAAATCTAAATACTTTTTCTTAAAAATAAAAGAAAATATACTCTAGGGTAAAAGAATTAAGTGAAGTCCAAATTTAGAAAAGCTACTTTAGTTTTGCAGCCACTGGGGAATGGAGAAGCATGCCATAGAGGTTGGAGCAACCACAGGTTCTTCAAGGAAGGGGCTTTGTGGAAGCCTCCACAGAGCAGAGCCCACAAGTTCATGATGACTGATGTAGGGTCCACTGTGTGACTCTCCACAGTTCAGCACCAATGGCCTCCTTTCCTCCACCTCCCATAGATGTCAATTTATCTTTACCAAGGTGAATGGTTTTGGATTCTCCTTTAGCACCACTAATAAGTCTTTTAGCTCCTATTACCATTTTCTGGGGAAGAATTTGGCAGATTGTAATTAAAGTCATTTAAGTAATAGGAGGAATTAACTGGCATAGAGTGGATATGCTTTTGAGTAGGCTAAGTCATATGTTTGTATTTTAGGATGTTTTCACCGTAAGTGTTGGAAACTTACCCGCTCAGGCCAAGGTTCTCATCAAAATTACCTACATTACGGAACTTAGTATCCAAGGCTCTGTTGCTGTCTTCTTCATGCCTGCCACTGTGGCACCCTGGCAACAGGACAAGGCTTTAAATGAAAACCTTCAGGTTTGTACATTTAATATTTTAAAGGAGCATTTGGCAGGTGGTATTTACACATAGAGAAATAGGGCTGTGGACATAGCTCAGTGGTAGATTGTTTGCCTTACATGTCCAGCTCTAGCACCAGAATAAAAAAGAAAAACTGCAAAGGGAAAGAAAATAATCTAAATATCTAAAATAATCTTTTTGGCATAAACTCAATATCATTGACATTTATGCATTTAGTGCTTATAATGTTTATACAATGAGAAGAATAATGATACAGATATGCTCAATAGACATAATATTTTTATTCTATTTAGTCAATGAAATGTTTGTATTTGTACTGTATTTTCATTTTGAAGAATTTTGATAACCATTACAGAATGCAAATAAGCCAAAAGTAGAAAATTAAAACCATCTTTAATTTCTTTTCGAAGAGATAACTACTAATTAACACTTTGGTAGATATCATTCCAGATGTCTTACTTTATATTTACATATGTAAAAAAATATAATGAATATATTTATTTACATATATATATGTATATACACACATATGTGTATATATAGAATTCAAATTTTCTGGGGCTGGGAATATAGCTCAGTGGTAGAGCACTTGTCTAGCATGTGCAGGCCTTGGGGTTCATTCCCAGTACTAGAAAAAAAAGAAAGAAAGAAAGAAAATCTCTGTCATCAGAATGGTCAGAGGTAACCCCTGTATCTGTTGTATTTTAGAAGTTACTGTCATTTCATGAGCAAAAAACTCTGTGCTTCATTACTTAGGAGTAAAACCATCTGTCCTGTTGTGCTGTCAGCTGTGGCCTTGCTGAGATCACCTTCAGTTTAGAGTCTCATAGTGAAGCTTAATGAATTCTGAGTTATCACATATGTTTTTTTGTTTGTTTGTTTGTTAACAGGATACAGTAGAGAAGATTTGTGTAAAGGAAATAGGAAAAAAGCAAAGGTTAGTACCTAAAATATAAAACATGTCAATTACTCATTTAGTAGACATTAGTTTTATGGTTTAAATTTTTATTTAAAATTGGCAAATTGCAGTGACCCATGCCTTTAATCCCAGCAACTCCTGAGGCTGAAGAAAGAGAATCATAAGTTCAAAGACAACCTGGGTATCTTAATGAGACCCTGTCACAAAATAAAAAATAAGAAGGACTAGGGATGTAGCTCAGTGGTTGAGCATCCCTGGGTTCAATGCCCATACAGCATTGTGCTTATAGTGTTTATAAAATGAGAAGGATAACGATACAGATGTGCTCATTTTATAAACATTATAAGCACATATTTCTACAGGAAAAGAAAATTTAAGGCTGGGGAATAGCTCAATGGTAAAATGCATGCTTCTCATGTGCCAAGCCCTGAGTTCCATCCTCAGCTCTATAAATTACTTGTGTGTTGTATGTGTGTGTGTATGTATGTGTGCATTTAAAACAATGTGTGTGTGTGTGCGCGCGCGCGTGTATTTGAAACAACTGTAGGTAGAAACTTAAGATACTAGATTAAGACAACCTTCTCTTTATTTTGATAGCTTCTCCTTGACCATGTCTATTGAAATGCCATACATGATTGAATTCATTTCCAGTGATACACATGAACTGAGAAAAAAGGTCAGTGAATCTTTGGTTTCTTAAGAGCTCTTATTTTAACATTAATTTATTGTCTCAATAAAATACATGCAGACAGGCACAGTTATGCACACCTGTAATCCCAGCAACTTCAAAGGCTAAGCAAGTTTGAAGCCAGCCTAGGCACCTTAGTGAGACCCTGTCTTCAAATAAAAAATAAAAAGGACTGGGGATGTAGCTTAGAGGTAGAATTCTACTGGGTTCACTCCCCAGTATCAAAAAGAGAAAGAAAAAAAAAGATAAAATATGCATGTGGTTTAAAAATGAAGTGATGCTAATAGCAGTTTATGACAAGCAGCAGCAGCCAGTCCTAACCTATTGCTCCTCTAGACCAACTTCTAAAGCCAGTGAATTGCTCTGAGTATTTGAGCTATTTCTCTGTCGTCAGAATGGTCAGAAGTAACCCCTTTATCTGTTGTATTTTTGCCCAGAGTTTTAAATAGTAATTCTTTGCTATTGTTTCTTGATTCATCTGTTTCACAAACTACCTTTTAGGCCAGGAGTGTAGCTCAGTGGCAGAGCACTTGCCTAACATGCACAAGGCCTGGGTTCAACCCCAAGCACTAAAAAAGAGAAGAAATTATTACCTTTTGACATTCTGTTATGGTGGGTGAACATTTCCCTCTTCCACCTAACTCATCCCCTACTTTTCCTGTCTTCATTATTCCAAAAGAGTTTTATCACAGTGGTAAGGTCCATAGTCAGTGTTTAAATGATTATGACTAAGTAAATAGTGTTGACCATTTAGTTTAAAAACTGGGTTATGATGCCATTATCTTTTTAAAATATTTTTTTTACTTTTACATGGATACAATACCTTTTTTTTATTTATTGACTTTTATTTGATGCTGAGGATCGAACCCAATGCATCACACATGCTGGCACTGCAGGTAGAAACTTAAGATACTAGACTAAGCCACAACCCCAGCCCTGCCAGTATCTTTTTTAACCTCTACATGGCATTTTCTTTTTTAAAAAAGTTATCCTTTTCACTTATTTGATTTCTAGCCTCTCTCAATATTATTTTTCACACTGGCAAATACTAAAGATAATCCATTTGCTTTCTTTTTTCTTCACCTTCCCTCCCTCTAGTCTCCCACTCCTACTGTAGCCCAGCTTGACTAATGCTAGGAATGTGCATCCCTTTATTGTTCTCCGTTGGTGTGTGTGTGTGGGATATTTATTTATTTAGTTATTTTTTTAAATTTTTGTTAAATTTTCTTTTCTTTTCTTACCAGAGATGGAATCCAGGGCCTTATATGCTAGGCAAGCATTTGATCACTGAACTATATCCCCAACCCTAGCAGGGGGCTTTTAATTTTTATCTTTCTTCTTCTTTTTTTTTTTTTTTTTTTTTGCAGTGCTGAAAATTGAATCCAAGGCCTTGGGTTCATCCACTGAGCTTCATCCTCAAATCCTACCTTTATCCTTTTTCTTCCCTCAGTTTGGCAGAGCTCACCATCCACTTACTTTCTGTACACTCTTACTTTCCTGAGTAAGAGTGTACAGAATAGTATACATGCTTTCAGGAAATAGATATTCTATGCTGCAATTGATCCTTTAGTGAGATGTAAAATACTGAGTTAGAAATCGTTTTCTCCCAGAATACAGCTGGACATGATGGTGCATGCATATAATCCCAGCAATTTGGGAGGCTGAGGCAGGAGGGTCACAAGTTCAAAGCCAGCCTCAAAAATTTAGCAAGTCCCTGAGCAACTTAGTTTGACTCTACTCAAAATAAAACATAAAAAGGGCTAGGCTCTCTATTCACTTCATAAATTGTTTCTTTTGCTGAGAAGAAATTTTTTAGTTTGATTTCATGCCATTTATTGATTCTTGTTTTTTTTCAATGTTATTGATGGACCTTTTATTTATTTATTTTGTTTTTTTTTTAATATGTGGGGCTGAGAATCAAACCCAGTGCCTCATACATGCTAGGCAAGCACTCTACCACAGAACCATATCCTCAGCCCCATGATTCTTGGTTTTAAATCTTTCACTATAGGAGTCTTATTAAGGAGGTTAGGGCCTAATCCCACATGATGAAGATTAGAGCCTACTTTTTCTTCCTGGGAGCAAATTTTTACCACTCACATATCAGATAGAGCACTAATATCTAATATCAAAAAGCTAACAAATAACCCTATCAATAAATGGGCCAAGGACCTAAAAAGATACTTCTCAGAAGAGGATATACAATCAATCAACAAATATATGAAAAAATGTTCATCACCTCTAGCAATTAGAGAAATACAAATAAAAACTAATCTAAGATATCATCTCACTCCAGTCAGAATGGTAGCTATTATGAAGACAAACAACAATAAATGTGGGGAAAAAGGTACACCATATATTGCTGTCCCAATATTGACTGCAAATTGCAAATTAGTGCAGCCAATATGAAAAGCAGTATGAAGATTCTTTGGAAATCTGGGAATGGAACCACCATTTGACCCAGCTATCCCTCTCCTCGGTCTATACCCAAAAGACTTAAAAGCAGCATACTACAGGGACACAGCCACATCAATGTTTATAGCAGCACAATTCACAATAGCTAAACTGTGGAATCAACCTAGATGCCCTTCAGTGGATGAATGGATTTTTTAAAATGTGGCATTTATCCGCAATGGAATTTTACTCAACATTAAAAGAGAATAAAATCATGGCATTTGCAGGTGAATGGATGACTTTGGAGAAGATAATGCTAAGTAAAGTTAGATAATCCAAAAAACAAACAAACAAACAAATGCTGAGTGTTTTCTCTGATATAAGGAGGCTGAATCATAGTGGAGTAGGGAGCGCGGGAGCATGGGAGGAATAGATGAATTCTCTAGATAGGGCAGAGAGGTGGGAGGGAAAGGAAGGGGGCAGGGAATTAGCAAGGATGGTGGAATGTGATAGACATCATTATCCAAAGTACACGTATGAAGACATGAATTGGTGTCAACATACTTTATATACAACCAGAGATATGAAAAATTGTGCTGTATATATGTAATAGAATTGTAATGTATTCCACTATCATTTTTTTAAATCAATTTTAAAAATAAAAAAAAAGGGCTAGGGATGGGCTGGGGTTGTGTCTCAGTGGTAGAGCACTTGCCTCACATATGCAAGGCCCTGGGTTCAATCCTCAGCACCACATAAAAAGGAATAAATAAAAGTATTGTTTCCAATTGAAAAAAGGGGGGTGGCTAGGGATGTAGCCCAGTGATTAAGTGCCCCAGAGTTCAATCCCTGGTACCAAAACTTAACAAATAAACAAACAAAAAAGATATATAGCTAGCTAGATAGATATGGCTACATACACACACAGATGCATATTTTTTTTTCTATAAGAATTTCAGATCTTCTCTCTATCCCTGGAATTCTGAAATTTCATATTAATATGATCCTGTACTTGTGGCCTCTAGATTATATATATATATATCCCACTTTTTTTTTATATTGAACTGGGGGGCTTTAACCACTGAACCACATCCTCAGCCCTATTTTATATTTTATTTAGAGACAGGGTCTTGCTAGGTGCCTTGTGCTTAGTGCCTTGCTTTTGCTGAGTCTGGTTTTGAACTCACGATCCTCCTACCTCAGACTCTTCCGTCACTAGGATTATAGGCTTACACCACCATGCCTAAGTCTACTAAAATTTTTAATCTTAGTTCTCTTATCTTTTATTTGTCAGAGCTTTTTTGTGATCTATAAGCATTTCTTTTTTATAGCAACTTTGTATATTTCATGGATGTACTATCCTCTTTTGTTTCCCTAAAAACATTTCTAATTTTTTTCCTGATTTTTTTTGTGTCTCTTTTCTTTGAATTCCTTTTTCCTTTCTTCCTTTTGGCTTGTTTGCTTACCTCCATATTTCATGCTAGAGGCTTTTTCCCAAATGTGTGAGTGACCCTCTGTTTTCATCCTTAGGACTGAGAAATGAGAAATTCTAGGATGTTCATGGAATATGGTGGTTGAGAGTGACTCTAAGGGGCCATTTAGGATACTGGTTTGCACTTCATTCCCCTAAATGAAGCAGTCTGTACTCCTATGCCCCATTAGACCTACCATTTCCTTGTTTGGGTTCTATTTAGTTGGATTTCTCTAGGTAATAAATCTCCAATTTCCTTTAGTGAGAGATCAAATAATAATTGGAACCCAGTGTTTATGATAATCCCCTCTATAGGCTCTCTGGTAGAAGCATCCCTCATTCTGGATAAGTCATTTATCACACATTCACCAATTTTCTATCTTCCTAAAATTTGCTGACATCTTTAATCTGCTATCATCTTTTTTCCTGATCTAAATATCTTCATGGATTTATGCCTTTTTTATTGCTTCCTTTCAATTTCAGGGAAGCTTAGCATTTTGATAGGGAGTAGAATTAAACTCATACATTCCATCCTGAACAAGAAGCCCTTCACAGCAGTTAGCTTTGCTGTATGTAACAAATTGTTCCTGAACTTTGTGGCTTCAAACAGCATACATTTCCAGACATAGTGGTACACATGTATAGTCTCAGCTAATTAAATGATGAGGCAAGAGAATCATTTGAGCCTAAAAGTTTGGGATCAGCTTGAGTAATACAACAAAACCTTATCTCTAGCATTTATTATTCTCACAGTTCTGTGACTTGAACAGTATGGTATACAACAGCCTCACACACACAACTGCTGGTCCAGTGTCAGCTAGGATGGTGACCATTGTAGCCCATTATCCTATCCAGCAAGGTGGCTTAGGGTTATTTACCTAGTGGTAGAAGAGTCCCAGTAGAAACAAAAAGGGCCAGTCCCATTGCACAAACACTTTTCAAGTGCCTGCTTACATCATATTTGCCAGTGTCTCATTGAACAAAGCAAGTCATATGTCCAACTCCATTAGCCAATTCAAAGGTGGAGAAATAGATGTCACCTCCAGGTAGGAGGAGCTTCCACGTTACATTGCAGAGGGGTAAGTATACAAGAGTGAAGACACTTTATGGCATTTTTCAATTTACCCATGTTGTCTTCATTATTTTAAAGCTTATCATGTATATTTTCATATTCTTGAAAATATAATTTACAAATAAGATACAATCCTAAGACTTCTATTGAATGTTCTATTTTACTGTTCTAGGCTCTGATTATCTGCTATATCCAGAAAGATCCAACTGAATTACAGATCTATAATCTTTGGATCCAGAGTTAAGATGATCTCACACTTAACTAAATTAACTCTAGGATTTCAGGAGGGTAACTGATATGATAATGGTCCTAGGTCTAAAACCTACATTTTATAATTTTGGAATTTATCACCACATTGTTGATTGTTTAATGGAGTTATATAAATTTTGGAAGGGCTTGCTACTTGACAGGTAAATGCAAATTGGTAATATGGTATTATTCCATTATTTACTTTATCATATGGCTCTTTGCTTTGTAGAGCACAGACTGTAAAGCTGTGGTTAGCACCCTGGAAGGCAGCTCCTTAGATAGCAATGGATTTTCTCTTCACATCAGTTTGTCTGCTGCATATCTCCCAAGAATGTGGGTTGAAAAACATCCAGAGAAAGAAAGTGAGGTAAGATACTTCTTACTTTCAAGAGACATTGTTGGAAAAATATTTCAGAATAAATAGGATATTTTAATTTGGAAATTATTGTTAATCCTAAAAAACTAGCATTGCAAAATGAATTCTCACACTCCAAGATTCTGCAACTAAAAATAAATTATATCAAGAATGATCAACTTCTGAGGCTTCTACCAAAACCATCATGTGGCTTATTTCCCTACAAAGATTATAGTTTTTGTTATTATTGTCATTTTGTTTTTGTTTTTGTTTATTTATTTATTTATTTATTTATTTTTTGGGTACTGGGGATTAAACTCAGAGGCACTTTACACTGAGTTACATCCCTAATACTTTCTGTTTTTTTAGACTGAATCTCACTAAGTTGCTTAAGGCCTTACTAAGTTGCTGAGGCTGGCCTTGAACTTGTGATCCTCTTATCTCAGCCTCTTGTACCACTGGAATTTCAGGCATGTGTCACTGTACCACCATACCCAGCAAGATTGTTTTGTTGTTGTTGTTGTTGTTGTCGTTTTGGGGGGTTAGGGGGTGGTGGTACCAGGGACTAAACCCAGGGATGCTCAGCCACTAAGCCACATTCCCAGCACTTTTTATTTTTCATTTTGAGGCAGGGTCTCACTAGGTTTATAGCTTTACTGAATTGCTGAGGCTGGCTTTGAACCTGTGATCCACCTCCTTAGCCTCCTGAGCGGCTGGGATTACAAGCATGCACCACCACACCTGGCCAAGATTGTAGTTTTTACTTAAATCCCCACCAAAAACTAAATCCATCATCAGATATTACATCGGTTAATCTATGTACTTTTTATGTGTTTTAAAATTTGATACTAGAAGAACAAATAAAAAATTATTTATGACCATAAGACCATTTTGTGTAGCTTTAACAAAGAATTGCTCTTCACTTAAAAAGTTGTAATAGTAGTTGTACTTTAAATATTGGTTCATTAATAAAAGTTATCTGTACATATTTTAGTAATCATAATATCATCTAAATTCCTTTTAGAATAGTGTGTGTATGAGAAGAGCATATTATTTATTTATTTTACGAATAACATTAATACTATAGGATGTTTTTTCAGGTATTCTTTATTGATTCTTGACTTCTCAAGAGTCCTATATGTTGGAATCTTCAGCTTTAACATTTTAGTCTTAATTTGAGCTCCTAGTAGGTCATCTTGTTGTTAAATACATCTTATTGTTTTTATTTTCATACCATTTGTTTACCTTACTACAAAGTTTTAGAGTTTGGCAAGTAGATCTTTTCCTATTTAAGATACGAGAAGCTCCCATCCAAGATCTTTTTTTCTTCTTTCAGGCTTGTATGCTTGTCTTTCAACCCAATCTTGATGCTACCCTCCCTGACCTGGCTAACAAGAACGAAGTAATTATTTGTCTTGATTGTTCCAATTCCATGGAGGGTGTGACATTTATGCAAGCCAAGCAAATTGCTTTGTATGCACTATCCTTGGTGAGTGAGAAGCAAAAAGTGAACATTATACAATTTGGCACAGGTAAGTGTACTTTGTCCCCAGTCCAATGTGTTCTTCTTCCTTAATGTGAACATCCTCTGTGGAGCAAGAGATAACCTAACACAAAGCTTAAGCCCAAGAATTCTGAAGCCGAGGAATAGAGTTGTAACTCAGTGGTAAAGCACTTGTCTGGCACATGTGAGGCCTTGGATTTGATTTACACCACCATAAAAACAAACAAACACTGGGTGTAAAGGTGCGTGCCTATAATCCCAGCAATTTAGGAAGCTGAGTCAGGAGGATCGCAAGTTCACAGCCAACTCGGCAACTTAGCAAAGCGCTAAGTAACTTAGCAAGATCTTGTTTCAAAATAAAAGATAAAAAAGGTCTGGGGATGTAGCTCAGTGGTTAAGTGCTCCAGGATTCAATCCATGGTACCTACCAACAAATAAACAAACAAAAAGAACTTTGGAACCAGGTCTCCTGGGTCCAGAACTAAAGTGTACCATGACACTTACAAATTCTATGTGTCATGCTGAACAAGATGTTTGAACTCTGGTGCCGAAGTTTCCTCATCTGCAATCTGAGGGTAATAATTACTATCTCATAGTGTTGTTGTAAGGCCTGAGCTAATGTATGTAAAACATTTAAAACAGGACTTGATCTATGCTAGATGAAGTATAAATATTACTTTTGTTTTTTAATACCAACTCAACTGAGTGCAAGATCTTTACTCTGTTGAGTAAGATGGTCCCAAGGTTAAGGACAGACATTTAGAATCAGTAGGTCATAGAAAACCTGTGAGGAATGATCTCAGGGAGTCAGGACAACACACTTTGGCACTGCAGGGATGAAAGAAAGAGCATAGAATGGAGTGAGGGGATAATCGTATCCCATTAATTCTTATCTTCTGTGTCACTCAGCAGAAGGTCCTTTACAATGGAGCTAGGGTCTGTTCTGCTGGGGTCAAGTAGGCATGCAAAAGGCATGGATGGAGGTTGTATCCTTCCAGGATTAAGCTGCTAGTACCATTGCAACACACCCATACCTTGCTTTGCAAAGGCAACACAGAAATCTACACATGGAATTTGACTTAGAACATTTTGCAAACTATAGTGCATAGTTTGCTTTGGAATATATTATGTAGAGGAACACTGTGGTGGGTTTTTAAAATTTATATATTTTAGTTGTAGATTGACACAATACCTTTATTTTACTTATTTATTTTTATGTGGTGCTAAGGATCGAACCAAGTACCTCACACAGATTAGGCAAGCACTCTACCACAGAGCCACAACCCCAGCCCTGGGTTTGTTTCTGGGTTTTTTTGTTTTTTGTTTTTTGGTTTTTTGTACATTGACACTGTCATACACAAAAAGAAACTATTACACATAGTACTCTCCAAAGTATGCACATAAAGACATAACATTTTTTGTGATAGCAGCAGTGATATAAAGTAGGATTACTGTTTGTTAATAGTCAATCCAGTAAATATTTAATGGTAACACCTCACACTAATCTTATTACACAGGTTACAAGGAGTTATTTTCATATCCTAAGTACATCATGAGCAATGATGTGTCAACAGAGTTCATTATGGTGAGTAAGAGAAACTTCCTCAGTTTTCTGAGCTTTTGTCTATGAAACTTTTAGTTGTATTATCCAGAACTTATTCCCCCTGAAGTTTTTCTATGTTGGCAGATGTGTTAGCCAGCTTTTGATTTCTGTAATGAATGATTTCTGAGATAAATCAATTCTCAGTATTTATTTTGTCTTGTTGTTTCACAGCTTTTAGTCCATGGACTCCTGGCCCTCTTGTTTTACGTCTGTGGTGGGATAGTTCATCCTGGCAGGAGCTCATGGCATAGGGGGCCTATTTACCTCATGACTGCCAGAAACAAATATATCCTTCCAAGGGCACACCCCCAGTGACTTTCCACTAGGCCACACCTCCTAAAGGTTCTATTACCTCCCAGTAATGCCACAGGCTGGCAACCAAGCCTTTAACCCATGGCAGTGGAGGGGGTGAGGGCAGAGGTATGCTCATTCAAACCATAACAATGTATTCCTATAATAATGATAAAATAAATAAAAGTATATAAACTAACTAAAGAAAATTGGAAATTAAAAAGAACATAAAGAGAAAAATTGCCCATAGTCCCACCATGCAATGCAGCTAGCATTAACATTTCAGAAAGTTATCTTCTGTCCCTTGTTTTCATTCATTTAAAATGATACAAGCTGAGAATGACATTTCACCACCTCAATCAAGGCTGGCAAACCCAGGGGTGCTTTGATGAGATGTTTCTTTGCATATATGTAATAGTTCTTTGAAAACTTTAAAAAAATTTTTTTAGTTGTAGATGGACACAATACATCTATTTTATTTATTTTTTTGTTTTTTTATTTTTTTTATGTGGTGCCGAGGATAAAACCCAGTGCCTCACATGTGCTAGGCAGGCACTCTACCAATGAGCCACAACTCCAGCCCCTAAAAACTATTTTTAAAAAGCAAATAAATGCCAAGTGATAATATTTTCATTTATGCATGCCACAATTATAAACCAAAAGGACATAATTATAGTTATTTCACAAATATAGAATTAGGAAGAAGACCTTTTTTTTTAATATTTATTTTTTAGTATTTGGCGGACACAACATCTTTGTTGGTATGTGGTGCTGAGGATCGAACCCGGGCCGCACGCATGCCAGGCGAGCATGCTACCGCTTGAGCCACATCCCCAGCCCCAAGAAGATCTTTTCGATAATGGTATATCTCTAAACCCTCCCAGGAGATGGTTTTCAGCCAGGCATGGAAGTGGCATGTCTATAATTCCAGTGACTCCAGAGGCTGAAGCAGGAGGATCGCAAATTCAAGAATAGCCTCAGCAATTTAGTGAGGCCCTAAGCAACTTAGTGAGACCCTGTGTCAAGGGCTGGAGATTTGGCTCAGTGGTTAAGCAACTCTTACCAAAAAAAAAAAAAAAAAAAAAAAAAAGGAGATGTGCTTCAGTGAATGATTGCAGTTAATGGTGAGTATAATCCAAAAAGGAGTAAATGATCTTTTGTTTCAACTCCTACAGTCTGCTACACCTACTATGGGGAACACAGACTTCTGGAAAATGCTCCGGTATTTAAGTTTACTGTACCCTTCTCAAGGGTTACGAAATATTCTCCTCATATCTGATGGCCACCTCCAGAATGAGAGTCTAACATTGCAGCTTGTGAAAAGAAACGTCCACCATACCAGATTGTTCACCTGTGGGGTGGGGTAAGTCTCAGAGATCTGGTTGCTATGGTAAAAGACAGCTAACAGGCAGGTCTTTTAGTTGGCCTGAACAGGATTTTTGAAAGTCTAGAAATTGATAGTAATATATAGAAGCTATATAGGGCACAGGGCAGTGCTCCGGGCTCTGGGCCAGATTGCGTGGATCTCAAAACTCCAGTAGGCCACTCATTCATTAGCTGTGATCTCAGGCAAGTTATTTAACCTTGCCTTTGTAAAATGAAGGTGAAAGTGAAAATACCTGCCTCGTTGGATTATTTCACACAACAACCCAGATGTCCAGCTTGTCCTGAGCCTGGGCACAGTTCCCTCTGGCGAATTGGACTAGTTGGAGGTTGTCTGCCCTTTTGTCCATGCCCCCATTTCCTGTTGCCTTGCTCCCTCTTTTATGGCTCTATATTTGCATTTTCAAACCTCTAATATACTTTTCCTAAGAAATTACCCCCCCACACACAAATATAGTTAGTTCCATGGGATTGTACTAAGGTATGTGGCATCCATGTAAGGAAATGACAGAGCAAAGTGGGCTTCCTGGTAATCATACAGAGCTCCCATCCCATGCCAGGTGGGGAGTTGTGGAGGGTGGGTGGGGAAACCTGGGTTCTTCCTGAAACAACCCCACAAATGGTTGTTAGGTACCTCTATTCTGAGATAATGCATAGAGCAGGCCCTCCCCTCAGCACATTGTTCAGGTAGAGGAAGGGCTGTTTCTTTGGAAAACAGATGTGAAGAATTTCTACTTTTTTCTTTTCAAAATTTTTTGGTGGTGTGGGAAATGAAACCCAGGGCCTAGGCATGCCAGGCAAGCACCACTGACACATCCCCAACACAGGAATTCCTCCCTTTCTTCCTTCCTTTTCCTTCCTTCCTTCCTTTTCCTTCCTTCCTTCCTTTTCTTTCCTTCCTTCCTTTTCTTTCCTTTCTTTCTTGTTGTAGATGGACAGCATGCCTTTACTTTATTTGTTTATTTTTTTATGTGGTGCTAAGGATTGAACCCGTACCTCACATGTGCTGGGCAAGCTCTCAGCACTCAGCTGTTATAGCTCCAGCCCAGGAATTTCATTTTTTTTTTTTACTACTGTAAAAAATAAATAAGTCCTCTATACATGAAAGCTTAAATTAAGCAAACCTTCAGATATTTCCTTCTGTCTGTTATCATTTATTTCCTCCCTCCCTCTCTCCCTCCCCCCTTTCCCCCCTCTTTCTCTCTCTTTTTCTTTCAAGCACTGGGGATGGAACCCAGGCTTTGTGCATGCTAGGCAAGCACTTTATAGCTGAGCTTTGCCCTGACCCCATTTTATCTCTTTAACTTTAGCTATAGAAAAGTAACTTCTTTTTCATATAATGTCTCTTCTATTAAGCTTTGTCAACATTGTTAACATGTACTTTAAAATGTGTGCAAGATTTCTTGAAACTAAAACATGTGAAATGTGATCAGTTCTACAGCAAATCGCCATATCCTAAGGACTTTGTCTCAGTGTGGTGCTGGAGTTTTTGAATATTTTAACTCAAAATCCAAACATAGTTGGAAAAAACAGGTATGTTTTTTAAACATCTTATCTCTAGTCTTATGTTTACATGCAGAAACATTATATTCTTACATGACTGACAGTATCTTCCATGTTTTCATGGGGAGCTGTAAAAAAGCAAAAGCTACCAAGTGAGCCCCAATCTTCAGATAGTACTCATTTTGTAACTAGCAAGAACAGAGTGATCACTTAATCATACCTTCCTCCTAATTGCTGGATTTCTCCTTTTTATTTTTTATTTTTGTAGTTGTAGATGGACAGAATGCCTTTATGTTATTTCTTAATTTTTAGGTGGTGTTGAGGATTGAACCCAGTGCCTCACGCATGCTAGGCAAGCGCTTTGCCACTGAGCTACAGAGCCAGCCCTCCTTTTTTTTTTTTTTTGTACTGGGAATTGAACCCAGGGACACTTTATAGCTAGGCTATATCCCCAGCCCTTTTTGTTTTTTATTTGAGATAGTGTCTGGCTAAATTGCTAAGGCTGGCCTGGAATGTACCATATAATCCTGTAATCCTATAATTACACAAAACCCTGTAATCCCAGCAACTCAAGAGGCTGAGGCAGGAGAATCAGAAGTTCCAGGCCAGCTTTATTGAAACTGGAGTTTTGAGATGAGACAAGAGTCCCTGCTTCACCAATTTCCTTCTGGGTTCTTGTCTCACAAATTTGAAGAATAAAATCCACGGACAATAGCAGAAAGGAAGAGTAAACAGAGTAGGATTTTAAGTGAGAAGAAAGAGAACTCACAAGATGTGGGAGGGGCCCAAATATCAGAAAAACCTACTTTGGTGTGCTAGCTTAGGGGTATATATGGTTTTGGGTAGACTATGGAGCAAAATCTGGTAACCAGGCATTGAAAAGTGTCAAGGCTATTGGTTGTTTCCTTTAGCCTGAATTTTAATCCTTCTCTGCAAGACCTCAGTTGGAGCCCAACACTTCTGATTACTGACCATTGACTATTCTTACTCATTAGCAACTTAGTGAGACCCTGTTGAAAAATAAAAAAATGTCATCTAGAGATTATTTAAAGTATATTGAGAATATGTGAATGTACTATAAAAATACTACAACATTTTATATAAGATTTTGGTGTCCTAGGAGATTTTGGTGTCCTAGGAGATCCTTGAACCAATTCCCAATAGACATGTTTTTCTGGGATTTCTTTTCTTTTTTTTTTTTTTTTTTTTCAGCTCTGGGGATCAAACCCAAGGCCTCACACATGGTATGCAAGTGTTCTACCACTAAGCTATATCCCCAGCCCCTGGTTTACTTTTTAATGTGGCAAAATATTACATAAAGTTTATCACTTTAACCCCCCCTTCTCTCCTCCTTTTCTTCCTCTGGCTGGGGATGGAACCCAGGGTCTCACACATGCTAAGTAAGCACTCTACCACTGACCTACATCCTCAGTCCTTTAGGCATTTTTAAGTGTATAGTTCACTGGCATTAAGTACATTCACAGTGCTGTGCAGTCATCACCATTTATCCACCTCCAGAACTTTTTCATCATCTCAAACAGAAATAATTCCACATTGTCTCCTCTGCTGTTCCTACTAACCTCTCTTCTACTTTCTGTATCTTATATAACTGTAAGACATTTGTCCATTTGTATATGGTATATTTCATTTAGCATTATGTTTTAAAAATTCATCTATATTATAGCATGTGAAGAATTTCTTTCCTTTTTAAGGCTTAATAATATTCCTTATACACCACATTTTGTTTTTCCATCAATGGACATGTTATTTCTCCTCTTTGGTGTTGTGAATTTTTCCACAGTGAGCATTGGCATTTGAGTCCCTGTATTCAATTTGGAGTATATACTCAGAAATGAAATTACTTCATCATATGGTAACTCTGTTTAATTTTTTTAAGATCTTCCATTCTGTCCTCTACAGCAGATATCATTTCACATTCCCAGAAACAATGTACCAGGATTTCAATTCTCCAGTACTTAATGGGGAGGGGAGGCATTGAAATACTGAGAACCAAACCCAGGGCTTTGTCTATGCCAGGCATAGACAGTGAGCTATATACCCCTGACCCTCAAATAGTCATTATTTTGTTTTGGGGGGATTTTAAAAGCCCTGCTGATGAGTGTGAAATTATATCACATTGTGGTTTTGATTAGCATTTTCTTTCTTTCTTTCTTTTTTTTTTTTTTGTGTGTGTGTATGCTAGGGATTAACGCCAGGGGCGCTTAATCACTGAACCATATCCCCTGCCCTTTCTTTTTTTATTTCTTTGGTTTTTTTTTTTTTAAGAGAGAGAGAGAGAGAGGGAGGGAAGAAGGAGAGAGAGAATTTTCTTTAATATTCATTTTTTAGTTTTCGGTGGACACAGCATCTTTATTTTATTTTACGTGGTGCTGAGGATCGAACCCAGTGCCCTGAACATGCCAGGCGCTACCACTTGAGCCACATCCCCAGCACCCCTGCCCTTTCTTATATTTTTATTTAAAGACAGGGTTTTGCTGAGTTGCTTAGGGCCTCACTAAGTTGCTGAGGCTGGCTTTGAACAAACAATCCTCCTGCTTCAGCCTCCCAGATCACTGGAATTAATTACAGGCATGCACCATCATGCCTAGCCAGTATTTTCTTGATGTTTAGTTATGTTGAGCATCTTTTTATGTGCTTACTGGCAAATTACATATCTTTTTTGGAAAAATGCCTTTCAAGTCTTTTGTAGAACTAGTTTTTATCTATTCTTACCAAAACTGTGTATTTGTAGTTAGCTAATGGAATAATTTTAATGATGTAAATTTAAATGATGCAATTATGCTATTATTAAAAATTCTATATAAAATCTCTTTGGAAAAGTACTTTATATCAGGAAAAAGGAAGAAAAAAAAAACAAAAAAAAACTACAAAATCTCCAAGGAAGAAAAAGTAAACTTTAAGTGTTACATTATAATTAAAAGAGAAATAATTCTTCTTTTATTAAAGGTAAAAGACCAAATGACCAGGATATGTTCCCCAAGTTGCCACTCTGTCTCTGTTAAATGGCAGCAACTTAGTACAAATGCACCCAAGGCCCTGCAGGCTCCAGCCCAAGTGCCATCCTTGTTCCATAATGATAGACTTCTTGTCTATGGATTTATTCCTCATTGTACACAGGTAAGAATAAGCACATTTTGTTATACCAGGGATAAAACAATGTATTTTGCGCATATATATATATCTTATATCTCTCTCTCACTGGCAGATTTTTCCCTTTTGGGATCATAGTTGGGAGGATTTTCATTTCCATTGAGAGGAGAGAGGATGTCACTAATCACATTATAGTAACCAAGATACTGTGACATAGAAAAGCTAATGAAGAACTAATGTTCTTCCCTTTTCAGGCAACTCTGAATGCACTAATTCAAGAGAAGGAATTTTGTACAATGGTATCAACTACAGAGCTTCAGAAAACAACTGGGACGGTAAGGTTTACAACCTGAACTATGGGGCTGGGGTGTAGCTCAGGACTAAAGTGCATGTCTAGCATGTGTGAGGCCCTGGGTTCAATCCCCAGCACCACAAACAAAACAAAACAAACTTTTAAAAAAACCTCTATAGTTAAAAAAAGAAAGAAGAAAAACCCTCTATAGTTATAATATTATATTTTCATATACAAGCTCCACATACTTTCTTTGTTATAGTTTTGGGTTGATACATCAGCACACGATTTGGAGGGTGGATATCTGTATAAATGGGATCACTTCTCTTCAGTGGCTCTTCATCTGGGATTCTGGAGTCTGGATATATCCTATGGGTGTATATCCCTATGGCTATGAATAACGGCAACTGAATATGGCATTTTATGTGAAAATTTTTATAGGGAGATTGTCAAACATGTTCATGACTCAATAAAAGTTCAGTGCTACTGGTCCCTTAAGTTACTTAAAATGTTAATTATAACAGTGCTAGACTGAGAGTAAACCACATCATATATTGAAGATTTTTTTTTACATTTTTATATTAAAAGCAAAGGAGTTATGAAAGAAATAGCTCCTGTTTCCTCTCTACTCAATACTTCTAGTCTCCAGATGTGGGTTTTCCCCACACACACACACTGACTAGTTCCTTAGTACCAGCTGTATGACTTTAAATTCAATTCAATTCTGACATCATCTGCTCAGGCCAAAAGAGTAAGGTCTTAGTCTCACAAGACTGCCCCAGTTCAAATGCCAATCACAAGTGGTGGGTTCTCATGTTACCTAATGTCTGAGTTGGATTCAAGTTAGAGGTTCCCACAGTCCTTCCTAGGCTCAGTAATTTGCCATAACAGTTCACAGAAGTGTTCATGAAACAGAAAAGTTTAATTTTATAGACAGATAAGGGCTAAAGAAAGCAGAAATGAACAAAGATAGAGGGGGAAAGAAATAAAGGGGAAGGTTAGTAAAGGAGTAGAATATTCATATCTTCATATCTTTTCCTGGAACAGGCAGAGATTTTCTGGAACTCAGGTCTGGTGTTTCCTGTTATGGCATTGGTCGAATGTCACTATGGGAATTAGATTATAATGAAGTTAAAGGTTGTCTGGTGGTTACTCGACAGCCATCTTTGATCCCTCAGTTTTAACTGTCCACTGACAAGGAAATTCCTCTCCTCTAATATAAACAAGATTAGGTAGGGATAGATAAACAATATCAGGCAGGTAATCAATCTTCGTCCTTGTCCTCAATGCCAATCCAATAACAAGGACATGGTTTTGAGCAAAAGGAAAAAGGTTTATTGCTTTGCTAGCAAAGAAGAAGCATGGAGGTCTTCTGTCCAGAGGCTGTATGATTCTGCCTATCTAGGAAACCAGAGGGCTTTTAAAGAGGTGATTCAAAGACTATATTCCATGTTTTCTCTGTTGAAGTTGTAATTCACTTTGGGAGATAGTCATTTCTGAGATCTACTGGTGTCTTCCCCAAAGTCTAGATTACTTCCTTCTTATGGTGGGTGTTTGCTCAAGGACAGATAACTGCCTAGGATGAGGAAGAAAGGCAATCCTGTTTCCCCTGAGATCAGGGAAGGGGAGAGATTAGGGAGGAGCCAGGAGAAAGGAGGAGAAAGAAACAGGTCTCTTTTTAAAAAAATAAATGCAGTGGCTAGGTGCAATGGCGCTTGCTTGTAATCTCAGTAGCTTGGGAGGCTGAGGCAGGAGGAGGTCAAGTTCAAAGCCATCCTCAGCAAAAACGAGGTGCTAAGCAACTCGGTGAGAACCTGTCTCTAAATAAAATACAAAATAGGGCTAGGGATGTGGCTCAGTGGTCGAGTGCTCCTGAGTTCAGTCCCCAGTACCCCCCTCAAAAATAATGATAATAATGTAAGGGTCCGGTGGAACGTCGGAGAAAGAGACCACACAAGAGACTGGCTCCATGCAATTGGCAAAAGGGGATTTATTGGTGATCCATTCCAGTGCGCTGGGGCTCCGTGCTTACTCAAGAAGGGAGAGCAGCCCAGAGCCCAGAGTAAAGGTCAAGCAGAGCTTAAGTACACTTTTTGGAGAGGGCGGTGGGCTTTGCATACATCAGAACAAATCATCATGAGGTGCGGGAAAACTGAACAACAACTCTGAGACATGATTGGCACATTCATTGGCGGGAACAGGTCGGGCGGGGGTGATTGGTCATTCCTAAGCGGGTTACACATTCAAACTGATTGGTTCGGCCCCGTGACAAACTGCTAAATGGCTAAATGGCCAGTAGGGCGTTGTTTTAACTATCTCAGGAATTCCAGGTTCTGGGTGTAACAGAGGAACTTAATAATACCTAATCTTTTACATTCAAGCTTTCCAGCTTAGAAACTTTACCCTTTCATTAAGTGCACTGGTAGAGCAGCAAAGGCTATATTCAAAGCTTAAAGTGGACCACTGTTATATTACTAGAGGTAGTACACTGGGTAACAATTTCAAATTTTCTTTCCTGGGGCTAGGTATACAGCTCAGGGTTTAGAGTATACATGCTTAACATGTGTAAAACCCTCAGTTCAATCCTAACACCCAAATGAAAAGTTAAATTTCTTATATGTCTGGAACAGGGAGACAAAACAATAGAAAATAACTAATTAGTTCACTTGTGTTTATTTGTGTATAGATTAAGACAGAGAACTTCATTATTATGCTGATTGAAACTGGCCTGTTTGGGAAATTTGATTATTATCTCTCATTTCTCCTAGTTTCCTGGAAGGTTATTTAACAGTTTAGCTTCCATTAGAAATGGAACTTTAGCATGAGTGATCCCATTTTTATTTTTAATCTGGCCTGTAGGGGCCCAGTGCAAGAGCACAGTCCAAAACAATATATTCCTATAAATTATATTTAACATTAAAGAAGGGTTTTATAAATGATAAAAACGAAGGCTAAAAGATCCATTGACAACTAAAAAAATTTTTTAAAATGATAAAATGAAGCAAGAGAAAGAGGAACATAGGGCAGTAACTGTAAGAATCCCAAGCACAGAGCCAGATACCGTGGCCCACATCTGTAATCCCAGTGACTCTGAAGGCTGAGGCAGGAGAATCACAAGTTCAAAGTCAGCCTCAGCAATTTAGCAAGGCCCTAAGCAACTTGGTGAGACCCTGTCTCAAAATAAAAAATAAAAATAGATGGGATGTGGTTCAGAGGTTAAGCACCCCTGGATTCAATTCCTGCTATATTTAAAAAAAAAAAATCCCAAGCACAGGAGCTTCTGATTCCATGAAGTTGAGGGTGTACCCTTCCTACATGTGAATGTGAACCTGGTTGGAAGTTTTCTGAACCCCTTCAGTTGGAGTTTTTGATTCAGGCTTTATTGCAATGGCATGATTGATTAAATCATTAAATCATTAACTCTTCTTACCTAGAGGTTATAAAGTGGGATTTAAAGTTCCAACCCTCTAATTACAGTTTGGGTAACCAGGCCCCATTCTTAGGAATTTCCCCAAAATCACCTAGTTAACTAAAAATCAGTTGTTATAAATAACAAAAAAGCCAGAGATCCTGCACCTACTAGAAGAAAATGTAGGCCCAACTTTCCATCATGTAGGTTTAGGAATTTATTTCCTAAAAAAGACTCCTAAAGGGCTGGGGTTGTAGCTCAGTGGTACAGCACTCGCCTCGCACGTGGAAGGCACTGAGTTCGATCCTCAACACCATATAAAAATAAAATAAAGGTAATGTGTCCATTTACAACGAAAAAAAATATTTTTAAAAAAATGACTCCTGGGCTGGGGACATGGCTCAAGCAGTAGCGCGCTCGCCTGGCATGCGTGTGGCCCGGGTTCGATCCTCAGCACCACATACAAACAAAGATGTTGTGTCCGCCAAAAACTAAAA